TGAAGGATTGGCATCGGGTCGCCATTGGGACACTAAAGTGCGACACAATAATCCACACTACCCCGAGGTATCACGTATACTGTTACATACATTCATCCATACATTCTGATCTAGTATTTAATTGCAGGCTAGGTTCGTTCACAATTGGAAATTTGGGGAATTGCCTTCTGGAATGACTTCTCCATCGTGACAACACTGATGGAAATGGTTCAAATAATCCGTTAGGTATTTATTAAAAAAATACCATATATCCATATTTTTATGTTAAAGATTTATTTGGTTTCATTGCATTAATGTATATTTTTTCAATTTTTGTAACTCCAGGCCTTGATGGTTCGACAATTTCTATTCTCTTTTTGGTCGCAGAACGTATGAAGGGCCTGAACCGTTGCATATTATGTGTACAGGTGCTGAGGGTGCTTTGAGTCGTGTTTTGTTGACAGTCGACGACAGCATCGGGGGAGCTTAAGCTGGCATTTGCTGAAAAAATGGCCGATTTTGGTCTAGAATACACCAAAATATTCATAACAAAAAGTTGACATTGAACTCTGGCATTCAAATACCTCAAAAGAACATATCCTGTCGAATATGTAGCTATAAAGTAAACTTTTGATCCAAATTTACCCTCAAGTTATCATATCTTGTACATTTTAGTATTTGGTCCAATGAAACTCATTATCACATTATAGAGGTTTCAAAGGTCCCACTGCCTCTACCATGTCATCCTGCACTTTTTGCAGTTTGTTAGCCGCGATGCAAACTCCCACACACAATCACACCGGATAATTATCCGTCAAGTTCCTTGGGAGCTGTCGTCGACTGTGAATATTAGATGTAGCGGTATCTCAAGTCAGATAATCAGAGATGTCCTTGTAAATATTTGGCCAATCATGGACCAAAGATGGGTCTGCGACAATTAGAGATTCCGATTAGGCCAATCATAGGCTAAGACTCTACTGATTTCCCCCCCTAAACGGAACGGGTGCCCTTGAACACATTATACAGAATATCAAAAACAACAGGTATTAATTGTTAGATATGGCGTCACCACCAGTAAAAACAGCCATGTCGGTTCAAATGTTTGAAAAAACTCTCGAGGTTTTATAAAATCGGATGTCAAGAATTATAAAGTATTCCCCGTTCCGTTTAGGGGGGGAAATCAGTACTTCGCTTTGACTTTTTCAAACTCATTTTCCTGGGACAACGCACGGGAGTTTCTCAAATTCACGGATTCGCATATTCGACATCCGATTACGTCTGTATTTTATCCGGATATGGTGGTTCATAGTTGCTTCAACCTGTTTTTGTAAACAATGCAACGATCCTTTACTCTTCGATTTCGAAGTCCGAGACACGCCGCGTGCTTGGTCAATCAGTTCGTCCATTGATCATGCTGCATCTTGCCCGCCGGTCTATCCCAACGTCCTTGCGACGCAGCTCCGCACGCTCATCGAGCTCGACGTCGTCCTCCCAAGCGTATCCATCGGCCCCAAGTCCATGGAGCGACACCGCGTGGTCCGCTGTCCAAAACAGCTTAAAGACGCTGTCGATGCTCAAGCAATTCCACAATTATGCATCGCCTTCGTTGAGTCTGCGGCGAAAGTGGAAAGTGTTTGGCGAACTACATCAAGTCGACGACTACATTGACCTCGACGAGTTCATGCTCGGTGCCAATACCGCAGTACAAGTAGTACTGAATGCGATGTACTCGGAAGGGTTTCGTGCATTTTGCATGGACGGCACAATGTCCCCTGACGTGGCGATCCTGCAGACCGTGTTGGGTATTCATTGTTTCAAGAAGTGCGTGTTTCAAACGCAAGAAACAGACAAACGCGGGATGCTCTACGACTTGCGGCATCTCGACATTCACCACTGCGCATTGCTCGGCGCCAATGCACAACGCAGACAACGAAGGAATACCGACAAAATTGAGTTAGGGGAAGGCCTCGTTCGGCTGGACATGCATGTGGCACTCGACCAGACGATGCGGATCTCCTCAAGATGGAAGAGCTTTGTCATCAAGATGCCTGTTTCGATGCTGTGGACATTTGAATGCGATGTACATGCCCATGACCTGGAATGGCGCGTCGTAGCCGTGGAAACCGACCTCGACTTGACCAAATACTAACATGTCCATTCTCTGCCCATCAATTTTGTCATCCCATTACTCTGCCCGGATCGACACCACAGCAATTCGTGGACAATAGGCCGCATTTTTCCCGCAACGTCGCTTTTGTGCTTTGGCGTTTAGTGGTTTTTGTGAGGCCAACGTTGCTGGGGCAACGGCCGCTTTGGAATTTGGCGCCCATCACCTGTTGTTTCGAGGGTTGAGAGCGGCATATTGAATCGGGTCGTTATATGTTATGGCTGATGGGAATTCTATACCAACTCGTCTTCGAGGTAGCTGTATTCGAATGTAAACTCCGTCTTGATGCGCTGGCACCACCCCGTCTCATAGTCAAAGTAGACGAACGTGCCTTGCTCAAAGTCGTCGCCCGTCATCTGCGGCTCTTCGTGACGCTTAAACCATGTCTTGTACTTTTTATGGTACCCCCACGCCTGCTTTTTGAGCTGGAGGGCGGCCAAGTACTGCTGGTACGTGCCTTGTTGGTAGTAAAAGATGAAAAAGAGCGTGTCGAGGTCGAGCTTTTCAAACACAGCGGGGTTTTCAAAGAGCGGCGACGGCACCGACGGAAACGATGGCGGCGTCGGGTACATGTTGCGCGGGACGTACCGGCTCTGGCTGCTCTTGTCCGAATCGACAGCTTCCGGCATGAGCTTGAAGCTTTCGTCGATCCATCGCAGCAATTGTCGCCGCTCGTCACTCAGCACGATCGGGGGCTGGGGCGGCAATGTCGCAATGGCAGGAGCGTTTGGAGACGATGACAATGACGGCTTCGCTGGGGACGGGGACGCATGCGGTGTCGAAGTGGCACTTGAAGGGGCCGTAGCCACCTTTGCTCGCGCATCGTCCACGATGCCATACGAGGACGAGGGTACGTTTCGCAGGGGGGACGATTGCGCAGCTTCAACGATAGGAGTTTGCCGAGCCTTGGTGATGGTAGCCGCTGGTGGAGGCGGCAGTTGCCTCGAGGGTTGGTTGGTCGGGGTGGAAGAATTTGAATCACGAGCAGCCGAAGCGCTAACCGGGGGGAAGGGATCGCTTTGTTTGGCTGCCAAGGCCGCAGCCTTTTCTGCCTGTGCCGCTTGTTCTTTGCGCAACAACACTTGGGCCATCGGTTCCTTGAGCATTGGTGGGGGAAGAACTACTGCACGGGGTGCCACCGGCGGTGGCTCCACCTTGCTAGGACGGCCAATACCAGCAGTAGACGACACAGAAGCGGGTGGCGCCGCGGGGGTCGGATTTGAAGACTTCTTGTTGGAAGCTCCGGCGCGCGTGGTAGAGGTGCTCCTGTTTGAAACAGGAGCAGGAGGCGGCGGTGGCGGCTCCGTTTCCTGGTCCGAGCTGTCGTCGTCGTTTTCGCCGTTGGCGTTGAATTGGATGTTTGTTAGGGCGTCCAGGTCGAGAACCTCGTAAATGTCGTCTTCGCCATAGGACTCCATGAAGTCGGGCTCTTGGTTTGCTTCGAGATAATAGTCGATGTCGTCTTTCAGGCCGTCGACGTCGGCTGGGTCGATGGCGTCGTTGTCCAGTAGACGCGCAATCTGCTCGAGCTTCAGCACGTGCCACTTGTGCCGCGCAATGATGAGCTCCAAATTCTCCATGTCCGACTTGTTCTTTTTTCCTTTCATGGCGCGAAGCCGCTCAATCTCACACTCCATGGACTCGATCTGCTCGGAGAATTGAGTTAGATCGTCTTGAATCCACCCAATTGTGTTTTGCTTCGCTTGCTCGGCCGGGTCCAACCGGTCTGCCTGTGCCAGTCCTTCCTTTGAATATGCCTTCGTTTTCGTCTCCTTCTCGCACACTTTGAACTCTTCCATCTTACTCTCGATAAGCCGCCGCGCATCTGTGAGAGGACGTTTGTCCTTCACGTCCGAGTTACCAATCCATGTCTTGATTTGGTCGCGGAACCGCTGTAGCTTCTTGATTTCTTTCTTGAGGTCAGCCTCGTGCTTCTCTTTCTGTGCCTGACCTGCGGCGCTGTAAACCTTGTCCCAGATGCTGTTGAACACTTCGACACCCTCTGTCACCTTCTTGAGTGTCCGATCTATTTCGCTCAGGAGTTTCCGTTGGCCTGCCATCGTCGCGTTCGTTGCGCAGACGTCGCACCGCTTGTGGCGAGGCACACCCTACATTCCGATACCTCCAAACTTGATGTTTTGCGATACATTATATGCTACATCTACTCGCCA